ACAATTGGAAAATAAAACATTTTGCCGACGCGTTTCGTCTTCCGACTTTTTTTTTAAATTGAAAAAGTCGGAAGACGAAACGCTTTTATAAAAATGTAAATTTTTTCCATATAATTGTCATATATATATATATATATATATGAAAAAAATATATAAAATGAAAAAAACAAAAAAAATCCTAATATGCGATTAAAAATATATATAATATCTATCTCACGCACGGTGAACACTAGATATATATATATTTCTTTAATATTAATTTTTTTTAGCAAGATTAATGCTCGACAATTTACATATAAGTTTTAGATCAAAATAAAATTCTTCTATTTTTCATTCAAAATTTATGGGAATATTTTTTACAATATAATACGTGACGACGACGACGTGATCATATTTAAACGGAACGCTGATCTTATAAAAAGATTTCAGTTATCTGTTTGGATTGGTATTGCTTTTATGTCCATCGTATTTTTTCATGTTGAATTGTATATGGTCTAATTAATTATGTTTTTATGAATATGTCCTGAAGATGGTCTATTAGACCGAAACGTCCGACGTTGACATTAAACATTAAAACAGCATAATCGCATATTAGGATTTTTGTTTTTTTTTTCAGTATATTTTCTTCATACTGTCGGATCTATATCCATATATTTGCTTACATATATATATATATATATATATATATATATATATATATATATATCAGAAAAGAACGTACGAAATATTAATCCGTTTACTAATATTATTATCATCATCATCATTATTATTATTACAATTATTATTATTATTATTATTATTATCATCATCATCATCCTTTTCTAAAAATGTTTCCTGCTTTGAAGAAGGAAATTACTGGAAAGTAATTGAAACTCACCTGAAGCGAGCTGAATGTGTAATGCTCCTCATGCCAATGACAATTCCACCGAGCTTCACTACGGCATATATACTTCACTGAATTTGATGTGTTCCTCTCAAATTTTAAACTGGGGTCATCAGGAGAGAATGTGCACCGTTTCGGGGCCTTCCTCTCAACGGTTTCAGTTGCACACCGGCCCCCACTCACTGATGTGAGGCCCCATTATAACGATATACAAGTGTTGTAGATAAACTAGTTCAAATGTGTAACGGCGAAATTAAATTTACGAAAATTCCGAAAAACGGAATTGTATCCTAAAGAGAACAACACTCTGAAAGAGATTGACATAAAATCTACAAAGTACACACTTTGATCATTAGGAATGTGAATTGTTTTTTGCCACTATTACAACAATAATAATATATATGAATACAAAAGGTTGATTCTCAAATCGGACATTATTTTCCGGACAACCTAGTAATATTTTCTAGTGTATACACAGGGTGCGGCAGGTATTTGAGGACAGTATCCTGAAAGACATTGATATAAAATGAACAAAGAGGACACTTTAATCATTAGCAATGAGTAATGTATTTTCGTACGGCTGTCATAAAAATAATAAAAATAGAACACAATTAGAAGTTATATTCTAAAAACCGGACATTATTTTCCGAACATCACTACTCATTTCCAGTGTATACACCTGGTGCGTCAGGTATTTGAGGACAAAGTTCTGAAAGAGATCGATATAACATTGACTTTAATCATAAGGAATGATTGATCTATTTATTAATATATGAGAACACAAAAGAATTATTCTAAAAATCGGACATTATTATTCCGAAAAAAAAAACTATTACTATATTCCAGTATATACACAGGGTGCGTCAGGTACCTGAGAACAAAGTTCAGAAAGAGATTGATATAAAATAAATTTTCATCATTAGAAATGATTAATCTATTCATGTGCAACTATAATAATAATAATAATAATAATAATAATAATAATAATAATAATAATATATTAGAACACAATTAAAAGCTTTATTATGAAGTTGGACATTATTTTCCGAACAACGTAATAGTAATGATGTCATTGGGTCATTTCCCTTTTCACTCAGATTTCCAAATCATTTTGCTAGACTCTTTGAGACTACTACTACTACTACTAATAATAATAATAATAATAATAATAATAATAATAATAATAATAATAATATATTTGAACTCAAAAGGTTTATTATGAAGTCGGACATTATTTTCCGAATAACGTAAGATGTCGTTGGGTCATTCCCTTTTCACTCAGAGAAATGCAAAAATAGACTCTTTGAGACTACTACTACTACTAATAATAATAATAATAATAATAATAATAGTAACAAGAATAATAATAATATATTTGAACTCAAAAGGTTTATTATGAAGTCGGACATTATTTTCCGAATAACGTAAGATGTCGTTGGGTCATTCCCTTTTCACTCAGATTTCCAAATCTTTTTTGCTAGACTCTTTGAGACTACTACTACTACTAATAATAATAATAATAATAATAATAATAGTAACAAGAATAATAATAATATATTTGAAATAAAAAGGTTTATTAAGAAGTCGGACATTTATTTTTCCGAAAAACGTAAGATCCATGGGAACATCAACAATCCCCTTTTGCTTGATAGTTTGGGACTAGACTAAACTAATAATAATTGGAAAAAAAAAAATGGAAGTAAACTCATTGAATGTTAATTAGCGCTTCTCGGATTGTTTGGAAAAGATTCCAGTAAACTCATTGAATGGATTCCTTGAAGAAAAAAAAAATCTCACATTTACAGCCCCACACCTTACGAAGGGCTTTATCTATGTAAAATTTGTGTGCGTGTTTTTTGGTTTTTTTTAATTGCTCAGTGGAAAATGTCATGATGCCGATGAAAGAGAAAATGAGTACACACCAGAAATCAAAGGAAAAGAAGAAGAAGAAGAAGAAGAAGAAGAAGAAGAAGAAGAAGAAGAAGAAGAAGAAGAAGAAGAATGAAATAGAAATCTCAAAAATGTGAAAAATGTTGCACATGGGTACATCAACAATCCCTGTTGTAGTTGGAGCCCTCGGATTGGTTGGAAAATGCCATGATACCATTTCTGACCTTAGGTCTCTGGGCGGGACCCGGAAAGAAATGCGTACACACCAGAAATAAAAGGAAATAAAATAATAATATCCCATAAATTAATTTCAGCAAATATTAAATAAGTAAACGAATAGTTTGTGTTCAAATCAGAAACTGTCCTACAAAATACTCGAGGATATTGACAAACCACAAAACAAGTCTGATAGATTGTTGATAGATTTCGGTACTTTTCAGTGTTTATGCATCTTTCCACTTCTCAAATTTCCTTCAAGTCTCCGACTAGTCACTTCAGGGAGTTTTACACGATTGTTTTATGTATATATCATTGCACAAAAACAGAAACTCCAAATTGTTTGCACAATTCTCAGCCGATCACTCTTCCTACTCAGTCAACTTGACTTCTTGTTTTTTGTAGGGATTGTCTCTTTCAAATGTAAATCTGTTTGATACACTTCCAAAATTTTCTTTTACTATTGTTCGCCCAATATAAAAGGCCCAAGAGCCACTCAAGATAGATGTTTACTGAATGTGGTTGTTGTATGAGCATAAGAAGAGGAGATAAGAAGTTCAGTTTATGAGGTTGTGTAGGTTAAAATTTTAGTGTTAGAGGAACCATCTTCTCAGGAGTTTGTTCCACAGGGTAAATTTTAAATTTATTGCTAATTTTCTAACATTTTCACAATAAGCGTTTCCATAAGTAATACATACAGGGTGCGACAGAAATACCTCCCATATTTTAAAGGTTGACGAATAGATCAATGTAACTGCTATTAAAAAATGATTTCATTGTTGTTTAAAGAAAGGGCTATAGGTTTTTACCCATTTCATTTTAAAAATGACATTCTACAAATGGCAGTTTCTATTCACCATACACTGTTGTAGACGATTTCTAAATTTTTCCATCACTCTGAATTTCGAGCACTTCAATGTCTTCCAGGTAGCTTTCTTTTAAATGCTGAACCTGTGGCCATGAAATTTTCGAACCCTGGCAGTATCGATCCCCGGCAAATTGTCTATCAGGAACAGTATCATCCCGACATAACATAAAATGAACTCGAAAATATCTCTGTGTTGCAAAAAGCGGGGAAATAATTCCAAGGGAAATAATTCCAAGGGAAATAACTCTTGCGTTCATTGTTAACAATGATATTCTAATCTTTTTTTCTTTTTATGTGCCGTGTCCCTTGAGGGTGTAGAGGATCATGGCTTTCCACTTCCCCTATCCTTTGGAGCTCTCAGTAAGTTTTCTCCCTTTGCTACTTCTTCCCCCAGGCCTTGTTCTGTATGTATGTCATGTTTTCCCTTGACTCTCTTTCCCTCTATTCGACCTGTGAGTATCAGATTCTCCAGTGTGATGATATCATTCCATATGATGCAGAAGTTTCTATCAATATTAATGGGTGAAATGGTTGTAAAAATAGTCATATGTTATGGTGAAGGAGCCTTGAAATGTTAGTTTCCTGATTTCTCAAAGAGGAATACTTGATACCTCAATTCAAATTTGAATGGCTTCTTATTTTACAAGCGTATACAGAATGCGGCAGAAATACTTCCGATATTTTAAAGGTTGACAAAAAGACCAAGGTAACTGCTATTTAAAAAATGATTTCCCTGTTAGTTAAACAAAAGGCTACAGTTTTTATTCATTTGGTTTTACAAATGACATCCTTCAAATGGTGGCCTACATTCGCTATATACTTTTGTAGACGATTTCTAAAGTTTTCTGATGTAATGGAATAACCACTTACCCCCATGGATGATTACACTATAGGTAGTAAGTACCTATAAAGTCGAGTGAAAAGACGCAAGCACGTCCGACCTTCCATTTAGTGGCACTCATTACTAGATTGACCTGTGTGTATAACTGTACCGTATTTCATATTGTACTTGTTGTTTACAATAAACCTTTCTTCTAGTATCCACCTAGATAACATTTTCCATCAACCATGGAGTGATTTTGGCGGTATTTCTGCCACTTTATGGTGAATAGCATCCTTTAGTTATTCTGTGGTTGCTAGTCGATGTTTGCAGACCTCAGTTTTCAAATAACTCCAGAGAAAATAATCGCAGCGGGAGGGCGAAATCGGGTGAGCTTCCAGGTCATACAATATAATCGTGTAAAGAAATCAAAATGTTCTGGAAACATCTCTCTCAATATGAGCTCTGGTAAAAAAAAAAAAAAAAAACCGTGCATTGATAACACCAAAAATTGCAATATGAGCACTGGTAAAATATGCTTGCTGAAGACATGAGGTTTATAAATCCCAGAAATTCATACTCAGATGCCCTCAAGGACACATGGCACAGTTAGTTTGTTCCAGTGACAGAACCCAAAGTGTGTGAGTTCAATACCTGGTTAAGTCAGTGGAGAACTTGAAGAGGTGAATTAACAGGAGATAACTGACATCCATTAGACATGGCACGTGGAACCATAACAGTCAACCCCAGCGAGAGAAATAAAGGGTTCAGTTCGACATTCCAACCACCTGAAGAAGGCCGGAGCGTACAACGGCTGAAACGTTGTGATAAATATGGCAACAAAGATGAGGACGAACAAGGTAAATAATCTCTCTCGATTGATCTTCTCGCTGTGTGCATCCAGACCCCCATTGGCTCTGAGTTCGGGATCTAGAATAATTTGAAGCATCTCCGCATACCAGTCAGATGTTACTGTAACTTCTCTAAGAACCCCATACACCAAATTTTCGCAACTGCGCACCACACAGTCATTCGTTCGCTGTGTAGAGGTCTTTTTATGAAGTTGTCTAGTGTTACTTTCCGCCCAGTGGTGAAAATCCTGCTTATTGATGCAGCCAGAGAAACCAAAGTGAGCTTCATCACTTGCCAGAAAAGCAGCATTTGCAGGAACATTTTTGAAAGATATGGTAACAGCATGCCATACGATTTTCTGAATCGCGTTCTTGCAGTTCCTAAACAACAATTAACCTGCATGAATGGAACTTCAGATCGGTGCGTAAAATTCATCTGACTGCTCGATCAGACAATCCCGAAGCAAAAGCATGCTTGCGGGCTGAACGTGTGCGAAATTGAAAAACAGACTGATTCACAGCCTGGACATTTTCTGGAGTTCGAGCCATTGGTGGCCTTCCAGGTGTCTTTCTTTGAATCGCTGAACCTGTGGCCCCGAACTTTTCTACCAATAGCAATATCGACCTTTAATCCGGAGCACCATCGTTCCGACGTAACGTGAAATGAACAAAAAAAAAGCTTGCAATTACAGATTCACTAGTCTTTAAAAATAATGTTTCAACAGCAAACGCACGGTGTGCATCGGTCCAATCCATGATCGTAATGTATCATCGCCCTTGCATGGATTATTGCAACCATATATGGTCTGGAGCGCCTTCTGTTTGCCTCGGGGTTCTTGGTAAGATCCAGAGACGGATATGCAATAAAATTGGCCCTGATCTGGCATCTCGTCTGAAGCCACTCTCTCACAGACGTGCCGTCGCCTCTCTCTGTCTTTTTTACAAATATTTTCATGGTAATTGCTCCGATGAGCTTCTTTCGCTGGTTCCCGGACTTCATGAGTTCAAGCGCCCTACGAGACTGGCATTCCGCTCTCACCCTTTCACTGTTGAAACTGTTAAATGTAGCCGTCTCTTCTACTACAATATCTTCATATCTCGCACCTCTCGCCTGTGGAACTCCCTTCCCTTTTCCTGTTTCCCTCATAGCTACAATCTCCAACTATTCAAATGTAATGTCAATAGACATCTCCAGTTGCCTAGATCCATCCACTATCCTTCTCTTCATTCTTTCCTCTATCACTCCTATCTGCTCTCGCTCCAAATCCTATGTAAGCCCTTGCGTGCTAGTGGCTTCCAGCCTTGCTTGGGGTGAAATGCTTTCAAAAAAAATATTTGAAAAAAGAAGAAGAAATGGTAAGATATTAACTAGTGGAAGACATCATTGTCACTTGCCTAAGTTTACTAGCAACACACAAGTGACAGTTTAAGATGTGGGACGTATTTCTGCCGCACCCTGTATAAAGCCAAAATACATACAATTCAATAAAATATTAAAATGCTTAAAATATTTAAAATTTCTAAGATTTGGGGGGGGGATTATATAACAAAAGGTGTTCACATTATGCAATCTTTTCCAGTTCTGTCCCTTTTACTTAAATTTCCCGAACACAATGCTGCCAATAAATCACTCCACAACGACATTCATTCTGTCTAAAAAAAAAAAATGATTTTCTTTGATATTTTAACTAAAAGTGACTAATATTTGTTTCAGTTCTAAATCAGTTAATATTTCTCGACGTTTCAGAAAATTAAATCTTATTTTTGTAATATCTTTAATTAAAAAAAATGTGTTGAAAGATCTGTCAACATGGAGTAATTTATCGATTGTACTAATAATGAGAAAAGCAACAGGGTATTTTAGTAAGGATGCTTGTATCCATTGGTAATTGCATAATTAAAAAAACCTGTAGTTCCAACGAATGATTTATTTTTTATGGAAATATTTCGACTAGCTGTTGCCAGTCTCGGTCACTCCTGAATTTGAGTAAAAACAGTGCAAAGAAGTTCGAAACGCTTAAGAATTCAAATCATGGAAAACAAACCGAGTTGATTACGTTTACAACGTAATAGCAAGTCGAAGCATTTAAAAAATGCCTGCAATAGGATAGATGCAGAACAACTCCATCCTGTCTGGACATCTCTGCTCCAAAGAAAAATACGATGTAGGAGAAAAAAAGGCAAAACGAAATGCGGAAAAAGTTGAGAATGACATTAGAAGAGAAAGAATCATTATGCAACAGCGATTAAAAAATCCTTGTTACATTATTTATTTTGCATACGTGGCATAATTAATTTAATGAATTTTCATTAACATGACATAATTTATTTCTTTTTCCTTAAAATCAATTCCGTTATATTTCACTCACCATCAGCTTATTTTGTTTTCTATAAATTTCGGTTCTTTTATTTTAATCTAAATATAAGCCCTTATATCCGGACTTTCTAACCAATTCCTTATATCCGGAAGGCCTTCTTAGTCCAGTTTTCAAGAATTCTCCTGTAGTAATATAAAGATTTTAACGATAAACTTTGGTTTTATTAAGCTTCGATCCTTTTCCCTTCATGCCTGCTCATTTTTAGAGATATCAACAGAAACGACACATGGCACAGTGGATAAAGTCGTTGGTACGATCCAGTGACAGGACCAAAGAGTGTGAGTTCAATACCCGGTTAAGGCAGTGGAGAACTTTCAGATGGAAATTAACAGGAGATAACTAATAACTGGCAACCATTAAACATGGCAGGTGGAACTAGAAAAGTCTACTCCAGTGAGCGAAATAAATATTCAGTTCGACATTCCAAACAACTGAAGAAGGCCGGAGCATACAACGGCCGAAACATTCTAATAAATAAAATCAATTCCGTTATATTTCACTCACCATTAGCTCATTTCGTTTACTATAAAACATTGAAAATAAATGTTAAGCCTGATTTGAGTTCTTTTATTTAAATCTAAATATAACATCTCATATCCGGACTTTGTAACCAATTCCTCATATCCAGAAGGTCTTCTTAGTCCAGTTGTCATGGATTCTACTGTATTTATTTATTAGATTGTTTATTCACAAGAATAATTTTATATTTACAACATTCTAAGAACTGTTAAAATTGTATTAAAACTAATGCAACGCAATAGTTATCATTTACCAATTTATAAAGAAATAAATATGAAGACAGTATTAATAAATACTGTTTATTATTCTTTTTGTTGTCAATTCTTAAGATCACAGCAAATTAACTTTCATGTGTTTACGTTTTATTAAAATTCTATTCATTGCTCTTTTTAAAAATAAAAAGTGGGGTTTAACATACAGCACTGTATGTGTGTGAAGATGATGATATAAAAGGGAAATTTTATATATATATATATATATATATATATATATATATATATATATATATATATATAAATATATATATATATATACATATAAGATAGATAATTTCAAGAAAGGTGGAAGGAAAGGATAAAGAGAACTAGGGATCAAGATCAAGGCATCAGAATAATCATTACATTCGAATATTTGAAGATTAGTAAAGAGAAGTGTTTGGGAAATTTTTTTCATTGTCGGGAAAGAAGAAGAAGGGATCAAGAAGATCAAAAGTTTTCAGAAGATGGGGATTGACATTACATTTGAAAATTTGAAGATGGACACCATTGAATCAACAGAAGAATAAAGAAAACAAGTGACCAAATGTTACATTTAATTACAGATTCAATCAACAATGTATTTTCCCTGATTATCTATGACTTCCTTCCATCTATTAACAAGCTTACTAATTCCATTACTATAAAATTCTTTTGGCTTTGATTCGAAGAACTCACAAATGTCAGTTTTAACCTCTTCCTGTGTTACAAAAGCTGTTTCTTCCAAATGATTCTGTAAGCTACGAAACAAATGGTAGTCTGAAGGAGCAAGATCGGGAGAATAAGGTGGATGAGGAATTTTCTCCCAACCAAGTTCTTCGATCTTTTGTGACGTGATTCTTGCTGTGTGGGGTCGCGCATTGTCCTGATGAAACATCACCTCTTTTCGATTCACTAGAGCAGGTCTTTTTTTCCTCAAAGCTTGGTTCAAACGCTATAATTGCTGACAGTATATTTGAGCATTAATTGTTGCATTAGGTGGTAAGAATTCAAAGTGGATTATTCCTTGGCGATCCCACCAGATTGAAAGAAGAACCTTTTGCCCATGAAGTTCCCTTCTCAGCTGTGGCTGGGGTCCTTCCCTTTACCAAGCCACTGTCTACGACGCTTAACATTTCGATAAAAGATCCATTTTTCGTCGCCAGTCACAAGTCTATCCAAAAAGGTGAAACAAGTTGGCGAGAATGGAGAGAAGAGCAGATGTCAACTCAGGATTTGAGGTTGTTTTCAGACAATTCATGAGGCACCCATTTTCCAAGTTTAGGAACTTTTCCAAGTTGTTGAGGATGACGATGAACAGTTGTATGGTTTGAACTGAGGACCACTGCCAATTCCTCAACTGATAAAGCAGGATTTTCTTCAAGGGCTGCTTCAAGAAGCTTTTCAT